CCCCAAAACCCCAAAACCCCAAAACCCCAAAACCCCTTAAAAGTATTTAACAGTCATTTTGAGAAATTGAATAATTTTAGACATAGATATTCAGTAATAGTCATCACCATCATTATAAACATAATTTTAGTCATCCATTTGCCCGTTAGTATCCATGTTTATCAACATATCTTCATTTTCAATTAGTCCTTCATCTTCATCTATAAGATCTCCATTTTCATGCATCTCATTCACGTCATTCATATCATAGCCGTTGAGATTTTGTTATTATTGATAGAGTTTGGACATCGATTCTTCAGTCTTTAAATGGGTGTGGAAATCAATCAAGTTCTGTCTAATCTTATGAATCATGTCTATCTTTGAGAGAAGTAGCTTGTCAAGATTGTTCACATAATCCTCAACGTCACTTCCTGGCTTATCAACATCATTTAACAGAGACATTTCAGTCTTTACAAGGTCTACTAAATCATCGATGTGTTTTCTATGACCATTTATCATTTCCTCTTCCTCTTCAAGAATCTACTCAATTAATCTCTCATGATCATTGCACAATTTATCAGAGTCATTCTAATACTGTGTTTCTAATTCCTCATATGATGGAACCGCATCATTTAAAGCGAAATATTCATACTTCTAAATAGGCTTTTTTTAGGATTATGGCTGGTAAGGCTGAGGCTACTATTAGATTTAATTTTTGTTGAACTGTTGAGAATTCGTCAAAGAATTTTGCTGAGTATATTTCCTTTACTATTATTGCTATGGTGCAGGCATTGAGAAACCATTTTAACCTGCAATCCTATTTGAAAATTATTGCTACTATTGTTATGGTGGTGGTAGTCTATTTTGAGCTTAAAGAGGTTAGTTAGCTTGATTCTATTAAAACTATTGATTGAACTGTTGATAATGAGGTGATTATGTAGGCTGCTAGTTAGGCATGTAATTTTATGGTTTTTATATTTACGTTTTTTATGACATAAATCCAGCTCTCTGTTGCTGTAATTATAATGAGTTATTTTGAGATTGAGGCTGCTAGAATGAGTTATTTTAGTTCTAATTTTGAGGAGGATTAAAATTTACCTAGTTTTAGGGTGATTACTAGAATCCTGCCTTTATTTAAGGACCTTTATTTTAAACAGGATTGATGGCTTAATTCTGCATAGAATTCTATCTGTTAAAACCAAATTATTAGCGTGGAGGCTGCTATTATTATTGCTATTATTATTGCTATTATTATTACTATTGCTGTTACATCTATTGCTATGGCAAGCTTTGCTATTGGAAACTAGAATTAACTTACTAGGAGTGCCTTGGATTTTGAAATTGAGGTTGTAGCTTTGATGCCTGATTAAAGTTACCGAAAGATCCATTAACTTAGTTGTTATTCTGATCTATCATCATAGATTAAGGTCTTTTGCTCTAAGTTTAAGTGTTATTTGGAGCATTGTTTAATGCATTCATGAAATTATTGAAGGATGTTTGAGGCAGTCCACTTTACTCCTACTTAAGCTATTATTGCAATTGTGGCTATTAAATACTCGATGGTTGCTTAAGTTATGGCTTGCCTACTGGTGGCTTATCCTTATCCTTAGGTTGCATCGTCTCCTAATTAATAGCAACCTTTTTCGTATTATTTCCCTATCTAGCTAACATAAGTTCCTTGTTTAACATATCTTATTTAGTCATTTTCTGCTAAGGCATCTAAGTTGGCGCTGTTCCTGGAGCTGATAGCCCATCTCCTTTCTTCAATTCTTTTACTCTATCAGCATATCTCAGTGTGTTTAGCGTATGTTCACAGCAACTGTTAGCAGGTGAAACGTTAGCAATCATAGTTGTTTTACTGTTTCCAGTGAATGAATCCTTGAGCACTTAAGTGAGCTTACTTCCTCGGAAGGGTAAATGTTTCTTCTCCAGGTCTAGAGCTCTGATACATTCTTTCAAAGCCAAAAGACTTTTATTGATTTCAGCTCCATCTAATTTAGTTTACTTATTAGTATTCATTGTATCTGCTCCCCTCTCACTACCAGCTAGATCGATAAAACTCATTTTTCCATATGGTTTTCCATAATGTTTAATTTGCATTTGTAAAATAGCATGAGACCTAGAGCTATCAGCATTAGCACCTGTTTAACCACTAGTTCTGCTTAGCAGACCAGTACTAATGAATTTCATGATTTCCTCTACTTCAACGACCAATTTCTCTGTAAGTCCTATTATATTAACATGCTGTTTAGCGTCCTCCCTACAGGTGACCATCTCCTTATTATTCAACAGATCATATAATTTTCCACAATAAATTTCATAGAATGATAGGTATACTTCCAGGTCCTCATATTACTGCAACAGCTAAATAACATCATAGGCGGCTAGCAAATACAAACCCGGGTTTTATCCGTCACTTGTTCCCATCATAGTAAATGTCTTACCACTACCTGTTTACCCGTAAGCAAAGCAAGTTGTTTTCGCACCCTTGAAAGCCTCAACGACAAGAGGTAACACACATTCCTAATAAATATCTTGATTATGGGCGTCAAGTTCGAAAACATTATCAAATGTGAAGTGATGCTCTTCAATGAACTTGGTAAGATCCACCTTTGTTCTATATTTCATAAAGTAAGTAATTGTTAGTGAAATTTAAGAGTTTACTTTAATTCCTTTACAATAAGAGATTGAGAGTCAGTTACTTCGAGAACATCCTGATCTGCCTTCTTAAGTTCTTTACTGTTAAGAGGTCTCTTTCTGACTACGACTCTAATTTTAGGTGGTTCTTTTGTGTTGTTTAAAAGGTCCATTTTTCTTTCTAACAATTGCTAATTTAGATTTTAAAATTTTACACTTATTGATAATTTACTTCGAACGGGGTTTTGGGGTTTTGGGGTTTTGGGGTTTTGGGGTTTGGGG